TTAATGGAATTTTAATGTATTTTTATATATGTTGTTAGCCGCCCTGAGCCTGCCGAATGGCGGGGAGGGCAGGATATAAATAAAAATATAAATAAAAAATAAAAATAAAAAAGTGATTGTTTTATTGTCCATCTAAACCATTGCTTTTACAACAGAATATATTTCAGTAGTTTGATAGTGCACTTTGATGGATATATATATAAATAAATTAGCCAGCATCTTAAGTGCATGGACTCTAATCTGGGAGAACTGGGTTTGATTCCCCACTCTTCCACATGTAGTTGCTGAATTACCTTAGGCAAGCCATAGTTCTATCAGAGCTGTTCTTGAAAGAGCTCTCTTAGCCCCACCTATCTCACAGAGTGTCTGTTGTGGGGAGGGGAAGGGAAAGGAGTTTGTAAGTCGCTCTGGGACTCCAAGTGAAGGGTGGGGTATAAATCCAATCCTTCCTTCTTGTTTAGGTCACATGGCTTGCTCTTTAACTGGTATATCCTTCACCTGGGGTTCAGTTCGGCGGCAGCTCAGTTAAGCAGGTACGCTTTGCTTGCCATTTTGTCCCCCCCCCAGTATTTTAACGTGTATTGGTGCATGTTTATTTCATGGTTATATTGATGGTTAACATACAGTAATGTCATTGAAACAGGTTTTCATAAGCACTGCAGATAATAAGAGAAAATACTTAAAACCCTGGGTAATTGTTTGTGTTAGTGAATAATAATAAATATTAAATACATATAAATTAAACTGCTTTAATCTAGTGGGTTGTTTTTTGGTCTATTCTGTTGGTATTGTAACAGGCAAGTGTGAGTTCTGTAGAGTGCTTTTGCATGGAGCTAAGTTTACCTGTGGTTCAGTTGTTTTTAACCATACCTCCAAAAATAGTCGCTAACATTAAAAAGGGTGCAGCTGTACATCAGTCTAAGGCAGCAAAATGCCGTGTCTCGATCCTGTGGTAACATAGGGTTGGTCCCATGCATCCGATAGTGCCCCTAATAGCACCTGGGGTGCTTTTAGAAGGGTGGGGTGTCAGGTGGTACCTCCTAGGTTAATGGGCTGCAAGCCAAGGCACCTCCAGTGCCATAGACACACAAGACTTCCCAGAGCAATGTTGAGTGCTGTGAATGGAGGGGGGTGCTGTCACCAGAAAAAGTGGACTTGGCCAGAAAAGGTCTGCAAGGCTATGTCCTCTTGGCAGGGAGATTATTTTGCACTCTGATATTTCATTTAGACAGCCTGTTCTATTTTGGGGTGATGGCATGCACCTCTCTGAGTGGGGCATGGATATCTAATTTCATGGGATTCTTTGTTTTGTTGGCTACAGGTTTAGGCTTAGGCGCTTTGGCGGGAGTGGAGCATGGAAGTCCCCCACTCTTTGGCACTTTGGGAATTGAGATGGACCCTTTGGGGGGAGGCTGTGCCTGCCTTCCCTGTATTGTAGGCTCCCATAAGTGGCCTTGGGGTGTTGAGCCACTCAGCCACATGCCCAGGTGGGGGCTGCTGGGTGGCTTCCACCAATAGGTGGGCAGGGGGACCCATGTAGAGGCCAGCGCCAACATGTGTCTCAGTATTTTGTCACTCCATTGTTTATCCCCCAGCAGTGGGGCTGGGGAGGGGTTCATAGGGCAGCAGGCAGGTTGCCTGATGCTTGGATCCATCCCTATGCTGCTCCATTGCTTTGTCTGTATTCAGTAAAATAAGCTGTGGCCACATTTTTACCAAAAAATGGTTGTGTGTGTGTTTATTCCTTCCAACGCCTCACCCTCTATCCCTCCTTAAACCCCGCAAACAGTGTGTTAATTTTGAACTACCATCAGTGTCTCATGTGCCATTAGCAAACCAGGACATAAGAAGGATTTTAGGCTCTCCCTTCAGTTCCCTAGGCTGGGTCAGCTTTTACCAATATACATTCAAATGACTGGGTGAGAAAACCTGGCTAGAGAAAAACAAAGAAGAAAAGGAAAAAGGGCTGCTCAACCAGAAAGAAGATAAAGGGAAACCCTGTGAGAGATGGCAAAATCATCATACGTGTATATCATTTTTTTCTCTGTCAACCAAACTCTCTCACCCAAACAAAATTAAAACGCACTGACACCTTTATGAGAAGTAAATAACCACTCAAGAGAGTTTTTGAATTACACACTGGAAAATATATTATAGGGTATTAATAACAGGAAAATGTCAAGACAAAAAGCCGTAAAATATCTTTGAACTATAAATATTCTGTATGGCTCTAACATATATTTTATTTATTCTGAACGACAGTAAGTGTAAGCAGGTTTTTGGGAAGTACATCTATTGGTTGTGAAATATATCTTTTTCTTTGGTTAATGATTATGGCTTGGATCCAGACAAGCATTTCCATGGTTGGAAAGATTTCTGCCCATGTAGCACACCTTCCTCCTCCCACTGCAGTCCAAATTCTTCCCCCCAATGCTACTTCTTTCCGAATAACAATTTCAGGGAACATTTTGGGCTGCAGTGGTGGGGAAGGGGAGGTGACAAAGTTGTGCTCTGGAAGATCCTTCTGCCCATGGAAAAGCTGAGCTGGATTCAAGCCTATACTTGCCTCTCTCATGTAAGATTATATTTTAAAATGACAGAGGAACAAATCAGGATTTATTTGATCTGTTTTCCCAGAAAGGAATGAAGATTAATTTATACAATCAGGCTATTAGATATCTTTGTCCCCTTCCTTTCATTACAATAAATGCTTACATTAACTTATGGAATTAGTTATCACAAGATGTAGTGAAGGCTCATATTTGCTGTTTGTAAAGCAGGTTAGTACAAGGTCCAACAACTTTGGTCCATCTGGTTCACCAACTCTCTCCTTATTTATTCACTGAAATATTTATACCCTGACTTTCCTTTTGGCTCCAGTCTAAGAAGCCTTCCTCCATCTTTGGCTCTTTCATTGGAAGAAGATTCAATTAAGTTGGAGGAAGGTCTCTTAGGCTAGACAAAGGCTACTTGAAGGATGACTGGGTCCACCCTAGTGAGAACACATTTTGCCTATTTTGAAACAGCTACACTGGCCACCAGTTCAATTCAAGGAGCTGGTTATATGACTTGTAAAGCCCTTCATGGCCTGGGCCCACGTATCTGAAGGACTGAATCTTTCCACATGTTCCCATGTGCTGACTACCATCTTCAGGCTGCTGGCATCAAGCAGAGGCTGGGACTTTTCCCTCATGGCTCCCATGAGGAATAAGTTCACTGAAGAGATGAGAGGAATCCCTCACTGGAGATACTGAGGAGGCACTGCAAGCTTGTGTTTGCCAGGGCTTTTGATAAGGTGTGAACAATGCACATCTTTTGGGGGAGGGAGGTATTCGGTTTTCTTCTTTACTTTTAATCTGTACAGGAGGTGTGAACAATGCACATCTTTTGGTAGGGGGAGGGAGGTATTTGGTTTTCTTCTTTACTTTTAATCTGTACAGTTTTAATTATTACCTCTAAGTCACCTTCAGCTAAGAGTAAAGGCAAGAGTACAGATATTTTAACCAATACGTAATAAGTAAACTAGATTGTTCTAATAAAGGATTGGATAATGAAGAACAGGCTTATTGATGGCTATTAGCAATGATTCTGAAAGAGGCTGGGTTCCAGAGAGCCCCATGTATGAATACAAAGTGCTTATGGCAGCACACAGGGATTCACCAATCTATTCTTTTTAGCAGGACCCTCCTACATCATGGGGTGCTATTCTGGAAGGCTATGACAACTGCACTGGTACAAGGAAGATTAAATCAGCTTTGCAAAACGAGTGCACCATCCCCTACATCATGGGTCTAGCTGTGACTGCAAGTTTGAGAAGATTAAGGGGGGGAAAGTCGTATAAAAGGAAAGAACAAAGTGATTAAGATGGATTTCTGTGTTTTTCCTATGCATAATAGTGCCCTCAACAGAACTGAACAGAAAAAAACAGAGGCAAAGGTAAGATTTCTCTGACAGTATGGAAGAATTTGCTAGTATGCTAAGTGGTTTTCTTTATACTAACCTGACAAAATGTCAAAGAAACACATTCCTCAAAGCTACAACAAATTTGTGCTCATATTTTACTAGCGTTACAACTACAGTACAAGCCATTAAAATATTTTCCCATTATTAGCCAAGAATCACATACCAGTTGCTGTAAATTCTAGCATTACAGACTGCCTTTTTAAACAAAACATCTAATCAGAAATAAAACAATTTAGCTGCACTTTAACAGTTTCTGGCATGAGAGTCTAGGATTTAGGTAATTAACACTGTTGTGTGCAATGGCTCACCTGGTATAAGCACAGTGACTCAGCTATATTATGGCACTCCCAATCCCAGCATGTTTTAAAGAGTCTGCTGTAAAAGATAGTGTTTGTGGGAACAACAGATGCATAGTCTTGTCTACTGTCACGCTAGACATATTGTTTATAACCAGCTCTGCCAACAGTCTGAGTGTTGATGAGAAACACCCCTGCTGTTTTAGTAAGAGGTCCGTGTTGAATGCAGGCTGCCAGTCATGGTGGATCGTGAAACAATTTGGTGGTGCAGCTGAAACATTTGAACTACCAAACCATTTCATTGGTGACCTAAGCCAAGATTATTTCTTTCCAGAGTTAGGTTTATTTTACTTTTCTAGCTCACTTCCTGCCAAGTACGCTTGTGTATATTTTTAGATACATTTTATTTTCATCCTAGTCACAGTTTACTAGAATGCTTATCAAAAGGCTAATTTCCATGTTCCTAAGACGCAGTGATTTCAGTTAGATTTATGTGCACTTAACAGTGTGCTGGATGGCAGCCATTTTTATTACCTACTATTTATTGTTTTTAGTATCACAGTGTTTTATCTAATTTTCATGTGCAAAAATATTTGCTGGCTGATCCAAACTCATGATTTATCTTACTGTTCAGTGGCTTTTTTTGTTTGAATGCTTAAAATATCTGATTAACCAAAGATGCAAAAAAGATATTTTTATTGCAACAAAACAAAGAACGAAACCATCTTATATTGAGCTCACCTGTTGTCCGTCCATTCCTGGGACACCAGTTGCACCGACAGAGCCCTGCAGAGAACAATATATTTGAGCTATGTAAAATATAACAAGTAGATGACAAACAACTCATTACACATGCAATGTTTTGATTTATAATATCTTACAACTGTGTCACTTCACTCAACCTTTGAAATTTTCTAAAATATAACCTACATGTTTATTGCTATTTACACAATCCTTGTGATTTTATAGATAGAACATTAAACATTACAGAATCAATGCTACTTAAAAGCACCTAGCATTCCCAACTCTAGTCTGGGAAATGCTGGAGATTCTCCTGGAGCTTGGGGAGAGTAAAGTTTGGGGAGGGGGGGGAGTTCAACCGGGGATGTGATGCCATAGAGTCAATCCCCTAGAGCTGCCAGTTTCTCCAGGGGAATTGATCTCTGTAGTTGGAGGCTGCTCCCTTACATTTATTACTTGCTATTGTGTGAAGGATGTTCATTCCTATCAACAATGATATCTTTAATGCTTTGAAGATCTAAAACAAAAGAATTCCCTCTCTACTTGTGAAAATGAAGCAACCTGTGGAAACGTTATCAGTTCAGTGGCTTCAACTGACATTTTAAGAAATCTGTGGGGGGAAAGGGTATTGAAAAGGGTATTAACAGTGCAGAAAAACCTGTTACACACAACTTGAACTACTTCTATGGAGTCTTGGATGATGCTCTTCACAGGTTTTTAGTGACAGCTTAAAATGTAAAGAAAATAGCCATGCAGTATGAACCAGCACATGAGCAAAAAGTGTCAGCTTAAAATGTAAAGAAAACAGCCATGCAGTATGAACCAGCACATGAGCAAGTTTCAAGGGAAATCACCAACTTATCTTTCATTTCCAAACATTTTCTCACATTGTCCCACAAGTGACTAAACATCTGTTCTGAAATGCCTACTTCTTTTAAACAAAAGAGGAACAGGAAAAGTTATCAGTGATATCAGTGCCTTTCTCACTGGCAGTGCTGCTAATTATTCTTTACAGCTTCTTTGACCTTCTTCTTGAATGCCAAGTTTTATGAAACACCTATTTAAAATATCCTATCTTTCAAAGTCAGATTTTAAAACACATTGGCTAGGGTAGGTTTCTTTAACTTGGAGACAGCAGGAAGTTGGTTACTCACTGGCAAACAGCCATTCAATTTTTTAAAAAAATTATTGCTGATATATTTAGTATTGGCCTAATGGTGCAGTCCATAAATTGTGGGTTCATTCTATCTAGCTTCAGCCGTCAACCTTGATGAGTGTAAGTAATACTGGAAGCATTCATAGGAAGTCAGGTCTCAGGTTACTGCAGAAAGAAGACACACAAGCTGGGCCACCAGCCATCATTTATCAGAAACACCTAGAATCCTTTGTTTCTCTTGGTCATTTTTTGGGGGGAGGGGGTCATATGGCAGCGATCTACTTGAATAAGAACACATCTTCCATGTGAAACTCTAGCCACACTTCCCACAATGTTTTAAATTTGGTTTCATGATTTTACCGGTGCTCGAATAAGAAAATTATAGTAACCTTTTAACCTGCAAGTTCAGCAGATGGATTGAAAACAGTCTTGCTTGGCACTGTGGTGGGAGGCTTGGTGGCAGTGATGGAAATTAGGGGATCTCACATTATGTGGCTGTATTTTGGGAAAACAGAGCTCACAGACTAAACTAACTACTTCGATGTGGTCTACAGTAGCTAATTCCTTTCATTCCTACTGCTTGCAATTTGGCACTAGAGACTGTAATCACTTTCACAGCACTGTTGTTTATACTATACCTTTTGTCCCGGAGGCCCCTGAGGTCCCTGAAAAGGGAAAACAATTCAATTAGCATAATAATGAAGCCAATTTAAGTTTAAGTGACCAATTAAAAAATGTCCCATTGTGCAAACTTTCCTAAGCTGGACCCAAATCAGCTGACGTTTTGCACATCAAAGAAAAGTAAAACTTTTTTTTTCTGGAAAAGTACAACGGTTCCTTTTCCCACTCTTTAGCATTAGCTACACACTAGAAGGTTCAGACTCTTCCTTTCTCCTGTTCTGTCTCTATTCTACCCTGACTCTAGTTCTCTGATAGCCACAAATCTGTCCCCAGCATAGCAGTCCATGATCCCTCCAGTTCAGGACTTCACGTAATGCTGGAGGAGCGATTTGGTGCTACTGAAGAATGTCCAGACTCTCAGATCTGCTGCCTTCGTTAGCCTGGGCAACTTGTCACTGGAAGAGGCAACAGAGTATTCTTTCCGCATTTCCAGAGTTCTGGTTTTCAGCTCACCTGTTCTAATTTCAAATGGCAGACTCCACCTCAATTCACCCCTCCCTGTACTGGTTTCCCCAGTTCAGTTTCTTCAATCAGGTAAATGTAACTGGGACACAGAATTCTCCTTCTCCAGTGGTGCAGCCTGATTTATATTGTAGCCCTCCCACACACACATACACAAACCCAGAAGATCCAAATATTCACTCCCAATGTCATGTGCAATTTTGTCCATTGACTGCCTAAAGGTAAGCTTAATAGCTGACTGGGCATTTAAGTATCCAGGGCTGCCCATTCCTAGTCTGGCATTCTATCAACTGTATCTCAGTGGCTCTTAGGGCAGGTCTCTCCCACGTTTTCTGATGGTTGCTAATGGAGAATGTAGGGAGTCAGAAGATACAGTAGCCTTTTACATATACTTCTTGCTTGACTTGGTGGTGAAATGAACATCTGTATCCACACATTGTTGTTCATGAACTTGGGGGAGATAGTTAAAAGTGCAAAGAGTAATCTAAAAGAGTATTTAAACCTGGATTTCAAGAACATTTGTATGGCTTGCTAAACGTTTTGCCCTTAAAATTAAGCTTTTTACTGATTATAAATGTTACTAAACCAACTGGCCCTCTATAAAAAATATTTTTGCTGAAACCTTGTGCTATTTGAATAACTTTTCAGCACAATAGCTGCCTCCAGCTCTTGTGATAGGCTATGCCAGTTGAAATTAAAACCTCTCCTGATAGTCCATTTTAAAAGGTATTAATACTGACAAGTACTCCTCACCCTGCAAACTTCTAGCATACCGAGTTTAGCTAAATTGCATCCATTTCCCCTTTAAGGGATGTATCTCTTAGAACTGGGCATGTGGGGGGGGGGAGGAGGGTTAGCACTCCAAGCCACATGAAGCCTTTGCGGATGACCTGATCATGATCTATTTATGAGTTTCTCTGCTGCACCACCTTTCAACAGACTCCCACAGAGAACAATGGGACTGCTGCTATTAATACACCAAACTTAACTGGATAGTTAAATGGAAGCATGTATGTAAATTATTTCAGCATAACCTGCATCTGTGAGCAAAGAATCTGAAATCTTCTCAGTTTACTACAAGATAATGATGTTGTATTTATGCTTCATTATCACTGGGTTGTTTGAGGGTATTTATACCCACTCAGCAAACTATGAGAATTGTTAACCACCCTTAATAATATAGCTAAGAATGTTCTCAGTTTTGAACCCAAGTTACTAGCTGTCAATGACCTTTATAAAAACTTTTGGTAGACCCCTGGATAAGAGAAGAATGTTTAACAACTGTTGTGTTTTCTTATAGTCTAGTTTAAAGGACAGAACAACACTGAGCCGGAAACAATGTTGGGGTGGGGCGAGGTGGAAACACAAACACAGGCCCTTGAAACCAGAAGCTCAGTTGTAAAAATCTACTCACAGGCCTCCTAAAGGACTAAAAGCAAGTATACACTGTGTTACATCCAGACTAAATTTTTCAGTCGCAGAATGAAACTTTCATGTCTCCCCCTTCTCACTACAGCCCACTGAGCTCCACAAAATACTGCTCCTGGGGGATAGGGGGCCCTGACAAAAGACACCAGGGTGATCTGTGGTAGGAAGGGGGAATCAGTGGAAATTGCCAATTTAGTTTGGATCTAGCCCATAGAGTCAGAGCCGAACCATGGAGTGGATTTCAGCAGCACCTTTCCAAACGATCATGGGACAATTCCTTTTATTAACAGCATGTTACTCTAAATGACACCCTTTCCAATAGATGAGAAAAATCTTTGGGTTACAACTTTCTTTTCCATTTGTTGGAAATGGAAGATAATTTATTAAGGATATCAAAACAGAATGCTTACGTCACCTTTCCTGACTGATTTTGCCAAATGATTCTGCTTGTAACTGTTCAGGGTTTTACAATTAGGGCTCAGGATACTGTAGCAAAAGAACATGTATAGGAAAAGGAAAATAAAGATTTCTTCTGAATTGTTCCTGGTAAATTGAAGAATTTAGTGCTTACCATCAGGCCTGGTTCCCCTGGCTTTCCTGGCTCTCCCTTAAAAAAAATGTTAACAACATCAATACAATGGTATTTACATTCATATTTTGTATTCAATAGTCTCTTCATTATAGTATAATGACATGCCCATTAATGCTTATGTGACTGTTTCATGATTAGCTATTATATCTTAGTACGAATTCTGTCATTTCACATAAGTGGTCGCTGGTAGCAGTGAAAACTATATACATTTTAATGAGATGATAAATAGGTAATCCTGCTTCTCAGCCCTTTAGTTTGCCACAGGAAAAGCAGTCAAACTCTCCATTAAGTATCACATTGTTGCACACCCAGCAAAGGTTGTGTCCGTGCTGTGTTCAGTTTGGAGACTGCGATTTCTGTTGTTCACACAGTTGTAGTTAATTATATTCATTCCACAAGGAGCTTCATGGCTAATTCTTTCCAGCCAGTCATGAAGATCAAACGAAAACTAGACTCCCCCCAACGTTCTTCCTGCATTTCCTTTCTTGCAGATCATTAAGGGAAGAAGATCTCTGCTTTCCTAATGGTATAAACATTTCCTTCATGCTCAGTTAATAAGGATGCTTTTATTTTTCAGTGTTACAGATGTACTTTTATACCATATTTGCAGAGGGAACAACAGATCTAGGAAGTCATCAGATTTCTTCCAAGCTTGTATGGGGCAAGTTACAAGGTGCTAAGATTCAAATCAACAATTAAGGTCCTAAAGAGAAGAGAAGTCAGGTTGTACGAAGGAAATCTCCAATTGGAACGCGGCACTGGACAAAGGTGAAAAGGCACCAACAGAATAGCAAGAACAATGGATAAAGGGAAACTTAGAATACTCTCAGTAAATGTAAACGGATTGAATGGACCACAAAAAAGAAGAAGGATCTTCCACCAATTAGGTAAACAGAAACTGGATATAATTTGTTTACAAGAAACACATATTCGTGAAAAAGATGAGAAATATTTGCTAAATAAAAAATTAGGGAAAACATTTGTAGCCTCAGACAAGAGGGAAAAGAAGAGCGGAGTGGCAATAATAGTTAAAGAAAACGTATTCCACGAAAAAGTTTATGCTCCAGATGATGGGAGAATTTTGATGGTGGAAATCCAAAATCAAGAGATACACTTCAGATACATAGAACAGAATCTCTCCAACCATTAAGAGATTCTGTTCTCTGTATCTGAAGAAGTGTGCTTGCACACGAAAGCTTACACCTTGAATTAAGCTTTGTTGGTCTTAAAGGTGCCACAGGATTGAAACTTTGTTCAGCTTTTCAACTGGTGAAAAAAGAAGGTGAGGTCCTTGGTGACCCCCCAAAAGCCATGCCAGGACAGGGACTGTGGTATGGAGCACGATTGGGCAAGACTGACAGGAAACGCTAGCTTGAACCAACACACTCAGCATAGGTTAAGAGAATTAAAAATGCGGACTTGTTTTCTTTTATTCTTCTTTTGAGCACTTTTGCACCATTGCTGTGTGTTCTACTCTAGAAAGAGAATCTGAAGCTACAAAGAAATGCTAACTGCTAAAACAGAACTGAGTCCTTGTCCTCTAGCAGTTCTGACTAACAATCCATTGCAAGTGATGGCAGGCACTGAACCAATGTTATATGTAGCCCTTATGACCTCACACAATTAAGACAGGAGAACCCATTTACTTTTCATATGTTGCAAACATCTGCACATGCACTTTGCATTTTTTTTAACCCAGAAATAAGTTTCTTTTAATTAATGTCTTCTAGTAAATGCTCAGAGGCAGACAGAACCTATATCTATTAAAACAGCTACCTTACTGCAAAATGAAAACCTTGTGGATCAAACAACATGTGCCACAGGCACATCCTGGCCCCACTTATTGGGCCAATGAAGCTATATGGTTCCCGCCTCGTGAGACCTGATGGAGAAGGGAGGGGGTTCTGGCTCACTCATTTCCTCCTCCTCTGCTGTACAGCCGACAGCAGGAACCCAGCAATTCCTCAGTGCCCCCCTTCCCCACCCCTTTTAAAGGTACTACTGCAACCTCCGCATGCCCTAATAGTGTCTCTCTTATCTCGCACTAGCATCCTCATCAGAGGAAAGGAACCTGCCAAGCAGTAAGGCCTTGTCCTGCCGTGTCAGCTGAGCTGCCATCCATCAATTGTGAATTGGCTGATGGCTTTTTAAAAGGACCTCTTGCCTTTGTGGCCTCCTGAACTCTTTTCCTCCACCCCACAAGGGCCTGCAATCAGAGTTGGCACCTGCCCAGTTCCCTGACAACATGAAAATATAACATGTGCACAAACTCTTAATGCAGGGAGTACCCTGGGATTGCCAGCAACAGGTGGGGCCCGGGGTTACAACTGATCTCCAGACTACAGCCACTTTGAAGGGTAGTAAAAAAGGTAAAGGTAAAGGTTCCCTTGTTCGAAAGCCAGTCGAGTTCGACTCTAGGGTTGCGGTGCTCATCTCCATTTCAAAGCCGAAGAGCCAGCACTGTCCGAAGACGTTTCCGTGGTCATGTGGCTGGCATGACTAAACACCAAGGCGCACTGAACGCTGTTACCTTCCCACCGAAGTGGTACCTATTTATCTACTTGCAATTTCTTGCTTTCGAACTGCTAGGTTGGCAGGAGCTGGAACTAGAGACGGGAGCTCACTCCGTTGAAGGGCAGACTCTATGGCAATTATACCCCTACTGAGTTCCCTCTCTTCCCCAAAACACACTCTTCTAATGCTCTATCCCCAAATCTCTAGGGATTTCCCAGCTCAGGGTTGGCAGTGAACTAGTGTAAGTTTCAGGAGAAACGGTTAGACACATATTCATCTTCACTAAAGAAAATGTCCACAAGCATAAATGCTTCGGAATAAAATGTTAAAACACGGTTTCTTAGTAGAATTCTAAATATCAGACTTGGGTTTGACCAACTGAAGTCTGATCGAAACTGAAACCATGGTAATGGATTTTTGAAACGTTATTATTGTGCTTTGGGTAAACTTGTGTTCTTTTTCAGAAGAAATGTCTGTCATAAATGTTTAAATTTAAAAACAAACAAACCCTGATATTGCTCAGAAAAAGGACCTTTAGCACTGACTAATTAAAGAACACAGATACAGTCAGCGAAAGATACTAAAGGAAAAAAGTGTGAGAGAGTAATTTTTTAATGTCTTGCATTGTTTAATGGTTCATTTCCTTACAGCGTGCCATCTCAATATTAATTTGTATGGAAGAGTTTAAATAAGAACAAAGCAACATACTAATTTTTTCTTTGTAAAAATTAAATCTTCCTTTTTAAAAAGCATTTTAAAATTGTTTTAATTGAAGGCAAGCTACATG